AAATAACTTAAAAACTATAAGCCTCCTGCGGCTAAAAGTGTATATATTTGCAATCAGGAGAACTCCCCCTACCCCCCCCATAGCCACCTTTTTTTTGTACGCGGGGTATGCCAAACTAAAATTTTCCCTAAACAGTTCGGTTTAGCCCGAACTTATACTCCTTTACTTGCGTATTTTGACTTTAGCGCACTATGTTTCAACTAAATATGGCGAATTTGAAAAAAAAAAACAGATCACCAATACTGCTTTCCAAAATATCTCGACCCTGGCTTCAACTAGCGAGACTCTTTTTGGCAAAAATGTTTCTGCTTACTTAGGCAATATATATTATAAAAAGCAGCGTAATTCGCCCATAAATAATAGATTACTTTTTTTGTGGCAGACCTTCCGCTGGAAACGCCCATATATCTATACTTCAGAATTTATATGTAAATCAATATGGATATATTTTGGCCTTTAAAGAGAAGGTAGGCGGAGTGATTTCAACCCGCGCCTTCGGTGATGGCAATTAACACACTAACCTCTACATAAGCAAACACTTATTGCGCAAAGTGTTCATTATTTATAGAAAACGAAACCAATATTCAGATTTAATTTTTCGGTATTGATATTTGAAATATCGAGTCTTTTAATCCCGATATAAATACAGCGATACTTTAAATGAGTACTACATCGATACTATCGGTTTGATATCGTTACCCTAGTCGTTTTGTCAAATGTACACAGAAATAAATATTGTTTCCTAAATTAATTAAAAAAAAAAGTTATTCAAAAAGATTTAAGACAAGCTTTTGTCACTTGTTAATAGAAAAAGTAAAATCGGCCCCGTACCTTCTAATGCTAAATTTTTTGTGAAGTTATTTATTTCCATTTAAGTAATATGCGTTCTAAATTTGAAACAAACCGGACCATAAAAAGGGATTTTGCAAACATCTCTGCTCTTATGCCACCTAAGGGGCAAAATTTTTGTGAAGTTATTTCTTTCCATTTAAAATATACATATGTACATACGTTCCAAATATGAACCAAATGTGACCATAAATAAGTCTCAAGACTTTAGTTTATCGGTAAGTTGGTTAAAAATTTATTGAATGATGTGACTACGCACAGCTGAAACTTAAAAATAATAAAAGCTTGTAATAAAACTTGAATACGAAATGTTTAGTTTTAAAATGTTTGATGCAAATGAGCTTGACAAGTACATAGGTAGCGTCCAGAAGAGAGCTACATATGTACATACATAGTTAATTAGCATTCAATAGAAAAGTAAATATAGAATTTCGTACTGGCGCACTATGCTTCAGAACTCAATTTTAGTGCGACTTAAATCAAATTCCTGACATAAGCAAAAACAATAAACCATCACTCATATTTATAGTAAAATATGTGAGTCATTAGAAAACAAGAAAATTATCCTGAAATAATGGGTACTTTTAACATATGACGTTACCAAAGTAAGAAAATTATTTAAAAAAATTTTCGATAAAATGAAGTCCTTTGATCGAACGTGCATTGCTTGGAGTTTATAATCTCATTTACTTTCAGCTACCCTTATTTGCATTTATTTGTTTTTCTATATTACGTTTACAAGCGAAAAGGGGAATTAAAGATAATTTACTATAAGTTACATTTCGTTTAAAAGGAAAGATTTTATTTATTAAAAAAACATAACATAAAAATAGAATTATTAGCAAAAACCAACAATACCAACAACCACATGATCAAGTGAATTGCAGCGGAATAGCTGCGCTTGATTGTGTTGGCA